GGAAAATTAAATAATTGTAAATACATTTTGAAGAATCGATCAATTAAAAATTTATATTTTACAAATAATAATGGTGAAAATAAATCATATAATATATCAAATTAAATAATTTTTAATGTTAAATATCAAAGAATGAATGAGACATGAATGGAGGAATAAAAGAAAATATATAGAAATTAATTTTAATAAATATATCAATAAACATTGATTACTTAGTTTGTAGTGTTTATTTATTTTCAATCGATGTTGTTTTTTATTTATAATACTATTTTAATATTTGTGTTGTAAGATGATTAAAGTTCAAGTTTCGAAATCTCGTATTTGATATTTTATATATGCACCGTAATCTGCTATATAATTTATATTGATAAGTTATATAAGTCGGTACTTATAAAAATTATAAAAGTCCGGCATTCATAAAATTTGGTAAAGGTGAAATAATATTATTAAAGTTATTTGCTTATATACTTGTATATAAGAAGATAATTGTTTAAAAATAACTAATTTTACAAACTAATATTGTAATTTTACTAAATACATGTGTATCTTCGATTTATCCAAAAACTATAGAAAATATAATCAGATCAGATTAGATAAGACTTATCTCTATGACTCGAATAATTACTTTTGCCTGTACTAAAAAATATTTCTTGTGTAATTTATAAACATAAATTGAAAAAGTATTTATGATAACATTGTGTAATTGGTTTATACTTTGAAATCATTTTAAAAAGTACTATTCTGTTAGATTAGAATAAAAACAATTAAAAAGAATAAATAAATCACTACAATATTTTTGAATTGTTTAATAAACGTCGATATTCAAACAGAAAATAATTAAAAAATATAGCGGATTTTTCATAGAAAAATTTTTTATCAGCATTTGATTAAATTATATATATTTATTTGCTATTATTCATGAATAATTAAATTAATAAAATATAGTATATGTAAATGCATGAAATGTTTGCTAGTTCACAATGTAATACATAACTAATCTTTATTTACAAATTGCGTTGTCAATATAAAGTATATAAAGGCAATATTAGATAAAAAAATCATATATGATTGAGTATATTTTGTATTTGGTTACTTGGTAAATATTCATATAAACATATAAATATAGATGTGAAAAGAATGTATATATGAATATATTACTACTCAATCAATAAAATAATTAAAAATTTGAAGATATTTGCAATATAGAAGTAAAAGTAATCCACTACTTTTTATAAATATAATAATTTTTGAAATTCTAATAATCTATTTTAGAGTACGTGAATTACGCAAAGAAGTGTTCAGCCTTTAATTATTTTTAATTATACAGATATGTTAAAAATAAAATAATGAAGTAATGATAAAAACGGAATAAAATATGATAAATAAAAACATACCAAACAGCCGATACGTGTATATAAAATAATTATTAATATACAATAACATATTGAAATTTTAATTATATTAAAAATTAACATTAGATTCGTTGTTTTATTCCTTCATATACTTAACATAATTATTAGAGCATAAAACTAATATTGATTAAACAATATATATATATATATTATATATATAAATACATTATATATATATATATATATATATATATATATATATATCTCAAATTATATATATATATATCAATTTCTCAAATGTTAGAATATCGAATATGTAATTTTGAATTGCATCTGACTGTTTTTGAATGAACAGAGCCGTAGAATAATATAATTTCATGCAAGCTTGATTAATCAACAAAAGCCAAAGCATATTTATATTTTATTTTATGGCAGCGACCCAGTTATATGTGTTCAACAATAAATAGTACATTATACCATTTCAATAAAGTTTTATCACGTGCAAAATCTTAATATCACATATATTGCACAACAAATGTAATATTTATATAAATATATTTGTACACTAGTTAAGTATAGTATAAATATAAGATATTAATGTATCTAACGAATTATCTCTATTCACAGTCAGGTAAATATCCTTATGATAAATTTTATTACATTATTGTAACTATATAATGTATAATTTTGTCATTTTCGATTATGGAAAAGTTATATAATAACTGTTTAAATAATGATTTATCAAATCTTTAGATTTTTTTATAATCTACGATTATATATTATATAATAATTATTATTAATTGATAAATGATTTCGCTACAAGATCATCGATAAATATATTTCCAAACAGTAATTTAATTATGGACCAATTTTATAATTAATTGATATTTAACTATTAATAGTTTAAAATGAAAATAACTAATATTTATTATGAAAATATGACTAGTTTATTATAGACTATAACCATTTTAAAGGAATTAATAATCAGAACAATATTTTATTAGAATTACTTACTACAAAATGTTCTTATATCGCATCGAAAATATAATAAATATATAACATGCTTAATATAAACTAGTTATAATTAAATCATACTTATTTATTTTCATAGTAAAAATATTTAAAAAATACTTTTTATGCTGTTTAATAAGAATGATTGTTAAAGTAACAATCTTTTTAACATAATATTTACAATGATGCCTTTTCAATAAACTTCTAAATTATTCTAAATTCATTTTGATGAATTAAAATTCTATAATTTAAAAAAATAACCTTAAAAAAATGAATTACTGAACTGTCGAAAAATTAGATAACCGCATAAGCAATAATTGTTAATATTCAATTCGTACTATATATATTGATAATATATTTTGGTGGGATATAGTTCATAAAGTTCGAATTAAGTCAAGCATTTCAGTTGAAGTATGATACAATCATAAAATTTTTATCGTACAGATTGTTGATTTCCCCACAAATACGGTGTATTTTTTATGTATCATTAAATTGTTAAATTATGCAATAATTAAAAAATGCTGCTTAGTTTTTCTGATATAGGATTTACATAGTTATTGATAAATATAACTGTGCATGTCTTATATGGTATTGAAAACTAAAATGTTATAGTTGAAAATATTTTTATCAGATATTAATGTTTTTTGTAATATTCTCAATGTCTTGAAAAATATTTATCAAGTTCTTAAGGTAAAACGTATAATATAATATATTATAAATAATAGATATTTTCAGTATTTTGTATTTATGAATAATAATAAATATTAAATTTATTAAATTTAAACCATTTTAAAGAAAAATGAAAATAACATTGTACGTATATAATTTTGTTTGATTCTTTTATAAATTTCTAAAAATTGTATTCCTATTGTACAATTAATAAGAATTATGAAGGTTTGTTTAAAAAGAGAGAATAACTTTATAAAATTACACACAATGGGGACGAGTATTAAATACAGACAAAACTTCAAACTGGTTTGTAAATGTAGCAATAAGGATTTACTCCTTTACAGAATGTAACAAAGATTCGTTAGAAGGTCGTGCATTGGCTTGCGATACTAGATACTATAAATAACGGCGTCGTAATACCGATGATAGCTCAGTCCAAACTAGATTGTACATAAGGTAGGTTTTAACTTCTACTGTTGCAACCAAAACGCTAAAAAAGTATTCTTGACATCATGTTATAGGTTTAATTCTAGACAGGCAATTGATTTTCTTTTTGTGCAAGTAACAATGTTGCTCTTTCGTAAGAGGATTCTTTTTCAATGTTATAAATAAATAAAAAAAAACAGATTTCTAGTAAATTTCTGTTAAACAAAACGAAAATGCTGTAGTGTAATTATTGTAAGAAGTGTATGAGTAGAGTTCGATCTCTTTCCACTTATTATTTATTTTATCACAAGTCACTCGGAAAATATTGACATATATCATCTATGATTTTACTGATATTTTGAAATATCATATCTCTCAAATTAAATAAATAAATAAAATTAAATCAAAATAACTTTAGTCGATTATATTTTATTTAATATATAATAAAATTATAAGAATGAAAATAATCATTTATATTACTAATAATTAAAATTCATTTGTTTATTATCTGAATATTAATACAATATTGTATAATATTAACTAAACATTTTTAGTTGTTTTGTGTAATCATAAATAGTATCAAAGTATTTTTTATGAAAGAATACAAATTTAAATCGTTTAGAATATATATTTTATGCAAAATTTATAACATTTCAATATTTTTAGACAAAATATCAATAAAATGATTTTTTATTATACGTTATTCCAATTATTAATATAATTAATAAAATAATAAATACAATACGATAACTGATTATAATGTTCTTTATGCGTAATTCAAATGTGCAAATTTTCTTAATACAGCATTTTAATATATTTTACAGATTAATTTTTTTAATGCGGTTAATCATATAAACGGAATCCATTAAATTTTTTACAATCAAATGTGTATTAATATTAAACTTAATAATAACTTTATATATTAAATAAATTAAATTTTTATATATTTTTTAATTATTAAAAGTTTTTTACATATTAATTATAATGATAGTAATTACAGTCAATTAACGCATTGATAATATTGAGATAGTTTTAATAAAATAATGGAATTTGTGTTTAATTTTAGTAAACTGTTCAAAATGTTTTATTATTGTTCAATATTATTTAAACCATTTTATTCATGAAATTTTAAAACTTTGAAAAATTGAAATTGCAAGTAACGTATAAAACTTGATATATTTATATTTTATTTTAAATTGAAGAAATTAATATAGAATTATTAGAATAATGAAATTATATATTGTATTTTAAAATTATGAAAAAGATGACAAAAACAATTCAATTTTTATTTAATTAATAAAAATTTAAATACAAAAATTTACGTTAAAAAATTAATCTAAGAATAATATCATCAATTGAAATTTTTTAACTTTTTTCTACAAAATATATTAACATTGACAACAATTATTATATTTGAATCCGCAGTTTTGCTTATCTACTTATTTACGATTGTTATTGTAAAATCAAAATAAAAAAGAAAAAAGAATACATACTATGTCAGTGGTATTTTGTTTACTACTCTTGTCTTCTACTCTTTTTTAGAAATCCAACATGGTGGAAAAGACGTTCTGCTATTGAACGAGGTTTAATAATTGTGGCAATATGCGCTGTTTTGTTAGCAACGTCACTCGCGATAGGTCTTGGGATTATTGCGTCAAATATCATTCTTTGCGAATCACCCCTTACGCATGGTAAGTTTTAATATTATTTTTGTTTTATAGGTTTGTTAATAATATTATTGAGAAACTTAATATTTGAAAATAGGTACAAACTTTGTGGCAATTTTAAACATCTTAATTTTTATTATATAATTTTGTTAACTAGATCATTAAAATTATAAATATATTTGTTCAATAAATTGTATGTATAAGAATAATTTTATAAAAAAAATTTCCTTATTTCTAAATAATAAATTTTATAACCAAATAAGGCTTTTTATTAGATATATATAAATAATCTGTTTAAACAAAAGTAATAATTATTTATACCATTTTTAATTGTAATTAAATTTCTATTTCGTTTTGTGAAATAAAACGAATTTAATATCTTGAAACATCATAGAATTATTAAATTATTATAATGTATCTTCTAAACATATGTTACATATAATATTTGAGTTACTTATTATTTATTGCTTGCTTAGTTATCAAAATTATTATTATTTACTGTAAATTATTGTTTGACGTACATAATTTTTTTTTATTTTTCATTTTTACATTAAAAATTATAAATTATTGTGTAAATGAAATTTTTTCGGTTAAAGTTTTATTTTATGTAATTTTATTTCTAGTTTCATTATAATATATTTTTGTTATCGTTTGCAAGTTTGAGCAATATGAAAAACAGTTTATATATATACATTTTGTATATAATATTTTTTATTTCAATTATGAAAATTAAAATTATTTTTTAATAAAATATTAAAATGTCTACAAACATATACAACTGTTTTTACTGTAGATATATTTAGACAAACTTTCTATTCTATTATAACAATATCGTAAAAAGACTTCTAAGTTATTGTATAGAAATCTTCTATTAGAAATTCTTACGTTTTTATTTTATGCTCATAATATAAGGTTTTCTTCTGTTTAGTTTTACTTTTTGTGAATCCTGATTCACGACTTTTGAAACAATTTTATATCTTTTAAAAGGAATTAGCATTTATTTCATTAGAGTTTCTAAATTATACTTTTGAAATCTGTAACAGCAATTTCCTTTCATTTCTCATCTTCAAGTATTTATGAATCAATATTATATATATATATATGTGTGTGTGTGTGTGTGTGTGTGTGTGTGTGTGTGTGTGCGCGTGCGTGTGTGCGTGCGTGTGTGTGTGCGTGTGCGTGTGCGTGTGCGTGTGCGTGTGTGTGTGTGTGTGTAGTTTAAATACAGTAAACATTTAAAAATGAGTTTCTGCAGATAAAATAATAATTTAATATTAATTAAAACCAAATCCAATATTTAAAATTATCCAAATTTTTTTTTTTAATCTGATTTGATAAAAATATTCGAAAACGTGATAAAATAACTGATTAATTGTATATATTATCAGTTACTATTTTATATTTAATATTTCTAGATTTATTTCAAACTTTTATATATGCTAATTCGAAAATACATTAAATATAAATAGCCATAAATAAACTCCGAGTTAAAAGAATATACATATTCAAAAAATTATAAGAATAAATTAAAATAGATACGTAAAATTTGTAATAATTAATTTCCAAAAATATAAAAACCTATAAATCTGTAAAATTCACCATTATAAGAAGCAAAATTTCAATGTCATTATTTTTTTTGCGTAACATAAATTAATAAAATATTATTATTTGTTATTAATTATATTAAATAAGTTTTAATAATTTTGTTCTAAAATAAAAGTTGATTAATTAACATTCAATACGATTAAATTTCATAATCTAATAATCAGATTAACGTGGTAAAATTTCAGTGATGACATACCTTTTTTAATATTTAGTCTATAATATAACATTTTTTAATTAAAAATGTTAAAAAAAATTTTTTCTTTTAATTTTACAACTTTCTCAGATTATATCATCAATAAATGTTCTACTTTTTTTTATCGTAGTTGTCACATAATAATTTTTAATATTTACATATAATTGCTTGAGTTTATTACCATTTCAGATTAGACAAAAAAACTTTTAGACAAAAAAATCATTATTTATTTGAATACTTTAATATTTATAATTAACGTATCATATATAATTATATCATTGCATATCTTATCTACGTCTACCATTGGAAAAGAATCTGAATTGTATTTATTTTGATATAGTTAATAGATTATATATCAGAAATAAAGTTTTTAATTTTTTTTAAATTATAAATCTTTATTTTATATGTATAAAAATTTTTAATTTTAATATATCTATCTCTTCAGTATTTCAGAAGTATTTTGTATCTTTAACGTTTCTTATTTTTTTGCTTTAATTGTTTTAATAATATTATTTTTAATCCATTCATTTAATATAATTTGGAATTTTTGTTTTTATTTCTATTTTTCGCCATTAAACACAAACAAACAATATACTTTAGAATTATTATTATCTATGATACTTCAATTGACCGATATTCATTTTTATATGAATGTTGAACATCTATTCCATCTCATTTCTAAATTCGTTGATATTTTAACTATAAAAAATTTATCACGTAAAATAATTTATACCATTGACGACTTATAATAGTTTTTTAAACTCGTTCTGTTACAATCTGAATATATATGGATATCTAAAATTATTATCAAAATAGTTTATTTTCTTTACTTTATTATAATAAAAAGTTAAGTAAAAAATGTTTATTATATTTATTTAAAGTTTTATATATGTTGTACTATAAAATAGAAATTATAGAAATTTTATAATAAAAAAGGCAATTCTTTTTTAGAAATTGTTTTTTTAATTTTTATTGTTTGCAAGTACGATAATTTTTATATATTATTATATATGTTATTATATATATTATCATTTATTGTAATATATTACTTATAGAATATAGATAATTAATATATAAGTGTTTATTCGTATTTAATGCGTATTCATAACTTGTCCTTGATTTACATACATTTGTAAATACCTAATATTTACAGCAGAAGCTCTTGTTAGCGGTCCATTCTCCAGAAAAATGCCTCAAATCGTGGAGAAATTAATTAATGAAGATATCTGCCTTACACCAGGATGCATTCATACGGGTATGTGAATTTCGGTTAAGGGGCTTTCAGTTTTTATATTTTTACATATTAAACAATCAAATTACTGAAACAGGTTTTTTTGGAATTTTTAAAAAACTTATATCTTTAATATTTATGAATTGATAATTTAATTGTAAAAATAATTATCAAAATTAGACAATTTTTATAGCAGTATAATAGAGTAACAACTTCTTAAATAATAATTAAATTATTAAATTCTTACATAAAAAGAATAATTCTATATTATTATTATTATTATTAAACTAAGTAATTATTTGTGTTTAATATGAAGCATCGTTAATTTTGGAGAATATGGATACAAGTGTAGAGCCTTGTGACGATTTTTATCGATTCGCTTGCGGTAATTTCCTAAAAAACACAGTTATTCCTGATGATAAAACCAGTGTGAACACCTTTAGTATCATCAGTGACAAATTGCAGAAACAGCTGAGAAGTAGCATCGAGGAAGAAAGTAATATAAATGATCCAAGACCTTTCAGACTCGTCAAAACGCTTTATAAGTCTTGTATGAATAAATGTGAGTTAATTTATTTAATATAAAACTAAAAACATATATTAAATTAAAATAAATATAATTTCATTACTAAAAATTATAAAATGTGTTAAAGTTCAATAAATTCAAAAAATTCAATAAATAATTCAATGATTCATTTTTTACGAGTATTATTTATTTCTTTAAATTAAATACAATTTTTTTTATCCTTTATATAAATATATATACATATATATATTTTTTTTATTGTTTTTTTTATTAATGAAATTGAACTCAAATATTATAAACTTTATTTAAATTGCAATCTAATGTATACATAAAATAACTCTTTAATCATATGTAAATAATTTAATATTGGATTTTTAAACATTTAGAATATTATGAATTTGTAGCAAATTATTTAAAATAATGCTTTATTAAAATATTTTTATTTAAAATTAAAATTAATTAAAATATCTGGTTTCCTTTTTTCAAAATACTGTATTAATTTGAAGAATAATTATAAGAAATGTTACACCTACGAATAATTTTTATAAGCGATAAACATCTTTATTAAAATAAACATTTTGTATATAGCAAAAATCGAAGAACAAGGATTAGATCCACTTCATAAAATACTGAAGGAACTTGGTGGTTGGCCTGTTTTAATGGGTGATAATTGGATTGATAGTAACTTTAACTGGAAAGAATCTGTTTATAAGTTCCGTAGAATGGGTTATTCAGTTGATTATTTCCTTGATTTCAGTATTGGCATTGATTTGAAAAACAGTACCAAGCGCGTTATAGATGTAAGTATTTGTAAAATAATAAAATTAATTTTTTAATTTATATGAAGATCATTTTGGTTTTATAATTCTCATGTAATTTTATATTTTATTTTTGTGCGGATATAATTTACTTACAATTTAGTAGTCATTGTTCTGAAAAGTATTATTTGATATTTTTCAAATAAAATTATTGAAAATACATTTAGTTATGTACAAAAGTAATTCTTGATTTTGTGCACATTGCAACTTTATATTATTAGTATGTTTTCATTAATTACAAATAAACATAAATAAATAAATTTATGTCTTTATTAATAAAATAACCTGAAATTAATAAATTTCTTTGGTTTTTAAAACTATGGAGTACTAAATTTTATGTTTAGTTAGATCAAGCATCATTGGGCCTGTCGCGTGAATATCTGTCAAAAGGATTTAATGACAAAATTGTAAAAGCTTATTATATTTACATGGTTGATATCGCCGAAATTCTAGGAGCCGACAGACAATATGCTATGAAAGAACTCAAAGATTCTTTAGAATTTGAAATAAAACTTGCTAATGTGAGTAATTTTTTTATTAAAATTTTTATACAAAAACTTGTGCTAGTTGTTACTATCAAAATACTTTTCTAATTTTATTAAATCAGCAATAAGAGTTTTAATACTTTCATTATTATTTGAAAACAATAAATAACTATTATAACATTATGTAAATTGCGGTTTTTAAAGAAACCTACGAATTGTAATTCATTAATTCATTGCAGATTTCTTTGCCAAGTGAAAAACGTCGAAATGCTACTGCCTTGTACAATCTGATGACAGTGCGAGAGCTCGACAAGAATTTTCCCACAATACCGTGGCTTGAATATTTTAATACATTACTATTACCTGGCATTAGCATCACTGAAGATGAACAAGTTATTGTTAACGTACCAAGTTTTATTAGCGACCTTGAACGACTCCTTCAGCAAACATCAAAACGTGTGCAAGCTAACTATATCATGTTTAGAGCTGCTGCGAGTTCCGTTAGTTACCTGACCGATGATATACGTAAAGTACAGCTTGCTTACTCAACTGTTGTTAACGGTAAGTAAAATTTTAATTTTTTACTTATCGATCTGTTTTAATAGTTTATATGTTTATTTTTTGAGAGTTGTATATTAAACAAATAATAGTAATTATTCTTCTTCAGTTAGAGATATAATTTAGAGTATTTTAATTTAATTTTAATATAAGGTACTATTTTATTATTTTTGTTTATATCACTATTAAATCCAAACATTATTTAATAATTACAAATATTTATAATCTACATAAAAAAGGAAATTTACAATTTTATCTGTTAAAGTTTTAAAATGATTTGATAATTTCTATACTAACTAGTTTAAGCAATAGGAACTTTAAATAACAAAATATTACTATTGAAAAAAAATTAATCAGATTTCATTTAATTATTTAATATCATACATATTAATTTTGACATAGATTTTTAGATCGAGCGTATTATTAAAAACAAATTTATAACATCATGAAAGCTTATAAAAAAACAATAACAGTTGATACGAAAAGTTACTTGCAATAGTCACTTCCAATGCACGATTTATATATCGTATAAGTTATCCAATTTAATTTAAAATAATATTAATTTTGTTTTTATTTATATTTTTAGAGAAAGTAATAAATTCACTTTATGTGAAATATATTACATTCTTATAAACAATATTTCATTTCTTGCCAATTAACAAATATCTAATACATAACGTAAAAAATATAATAATCTTTCGACTTCGCATATAAAATTAAAGAATATATATGGTTAATAATATTTATAATTAAATAGTTATTTTTATTAATACATTTTTTATAATAAGCATATGATTTGTTTCATTTTATTTACAAATATAAATATATAAATTTAATATATAGCTTTTTAATATTATTTATATAATATTATACATTAATCAATCGATACATTGATAAGTTTTTAAACATAAGGTTTTACTTTTTAAATATTAAGAAAAACGTCTGAAATTACAGGTAAGACTGAACGTGAGCCAAGATGGAAAGAATGCGTTGAAATAGTATCAGGTAGTTTTTCAATCAGTATAGGCGCGCTTTATGTTAGAAAATACTTTAAGGATGATGCCAAGAAAAATGCGGTTGAAATGGTTTCTGATATCAGACAACAGTTTATGAAAATTTTGAAAATGGTTAGTATAAACTTTTTTTAAATAAAATAGACCAATTTATAATAAACACTTTAAGCAATGGTTCATTTCAAACGTTATATTACAAATAGAATTCTGAGTAATTGAAATATGTTATCATACTGTTGTGTGAGTATATTTATATTTATATATTTATATACTTATATATTTATATATTTATAAGTTATTTTTACTAGTAAAGGATTTGTACAAAAAAGTTTCTAATTTAGTAAAATATATATAAACTAATATATATATATATATATATAAACTAAAAATATATAAAAACATATTAAATAACAAAAGGTTTAACCATCTATTATTAGTTTTATTCCAAATACAAACTAGGCTAGATGATAATGCGATATTAAGAACATGTATAATTTAATTCTCTATGGATTCACTTAATAATAAATAATTTTCATTTTAAACGTATGATAGAACTTAAAGAAACATTGAAAATTTTAGATTAAATATCTATTATTTAATTTTACTTATTTCATCTTATTATGTGTCTTATATAATAGTTTAGTAAATAATAAAATGTTGATAAATTGATTATAGCTGCGGTATAATGATAAAAAAACATGTAACTATTTTATAATATGTAAATGTAATAAAGTACAGAATTAATAACATAAAATAAAAAGAAACATTAACATTAATAAGGAAATAACATTAGAATTAAGTCAATTATTTTTATTTTTAATTTATGAAGAAAAAAAAGGATTAATTTTTAATTATAATTTTCATGTAATGCTTTAATGTAAATCATTGACGAATCAAAATCTTAACGAAAATCTTAACGATATTATGTTATAATTACATAGTGAAAAATAAAGCCATATATGTATATAATAAAATTGTTGGTATTTAAGGTGGATTGGATGGATGAAGCGACAAGAAAATCTGCACTGGACAAAGCTGTGTCGATGAGTACACATATAGCGTATCCTGATGAATTACTTGATGATAAGAAACTCGAAAAATTCTACAAAAAATTAGAAATAACTCCGGGAAATTATCTGCAAAGTATTCTTAATCTAACTCTTTTCGGCACCGAATATTCTTTCGAAAAATTGAGGAAACCGGTAAACAAAAGTGATTGGATCGCTCATGGAAGGCCTGCAATCGTTAATGCCTTCTATTCATCAATTGAAAATAGCATACGTAAATAATGCTTTTGCTTATTTGATTTTCATTTACTACTTATTATGACATATCAAATTTAGATTTATTATTGAATTTTTTTGTATGTTATATAAAACAATTTAGATTAATCAAAATATTCTGTTTGTATCGTAACATATAATTTTTAAATGTGAATACAAAAATAGAAAAAAACTTTATCAATAAAATAAAATTTCTGCTATAAGTTATTAATATAAATAAATAAACCCTTTTAAATGTTATTAAATTCTTTTAATTTTAAACGTAAATAGAGCTATAGTATCGTAATACTATTTTTGAATCTCATTAAATCTCATTAACTTAACGAAATACTTCTTGTATGTTTATAATAGTATTAAATATATTTTATTTCATATGTGTGTGAGTGTGTGTGTGTTCGCGCGCGCGCGTGTGTGCATGTGTGACATGAAAATAAATTTAATATTAATATTTTAATTCACTTGAAGAGAAAATAGAATTATATCATTTATAATGTTTTTGATATAAATGTAATTTAATGTAACTTTTTAATTTTGTAAGTTTCGGTACCTGTAAGTTTAACTTGAAAGATTAAGTTATGTAACATACGGAATATATATTTTCAACGTATAATTTATAAACTTAAATAAATTTAAATAATTTAAATTGAAAATTAAATATATCTACTTATTGTTCTTAGAATTTCCGGCTGGAATATTGCAAGGTGCATTCTTTAGCAATGACAGACCTAGATACATGAATTATGGTGCTATTGGATTCGTTATGGGACATGAAATTACGCATGGATTTGATGATCAGGGTCGACAATTTGATAAGGAAGGAAATTTGGTAGAATGGTGGGCTAAAGAAACTAAAGAGCGATATTTAAAACGAGCTGAATGTATTATTCATCAGTACGGAAATTATACTGCTTCCGAAGTATCTCTTAATGTAAGTGAAAATGTAAGCTACATTGATAGATATATTAATAGATCATAAAACATTGGTTATTAAATTATTTATTAAAGAAGTAAAACAATAAATACTAAATAAATATTAATAATATAAAAGGACTAGTAGTTTTTATATTTGATATTTTAGGTTCATTGTATTTTATAAATTACATATATTTTTTTTTTCATTTCTTTATTTTATACATACAAAATTTTAGAATGTTATAATTATCAAACAATTTTAAACTATGAATCAATTATTTTATTTTAATTAAATTAAAAATATATTATAGTTTTAATGACTAAATTTAAAAAATGCTATAAATTAATTTATTATATATTTTTAATGCTATTATTAATAATTTATAATAAAGTAACTTATATATGTATAGAATTAAAAAAATATATTTACTCTAAATCTCATATGATTGACAAATTATTTTCTTTCATTTATAGTAATGAAAATTATATGAAAAAAGTCATAATTTGTTAATAATTAATAAAAAATATGTGTAATTTTAATATTTTTAAGTTAATTGAGATTTTTTTTAAATTAATATAAATTACAATTTTTGCTCAATGAACTTGTAATGATAATCATAAGGTTTTTATTTAAAAATGACAATGACTTATTAACGTTACAGTTGAACGGCATCAATACTCAAGGTGAAAACATTGCAGACAACGGTGGTATAAAGGAGGCTTATCTCGCATACAACGAATGGGTACAACGCAATGGTGTTGAACCTAAATTACCGGGTCTCGATTACACTGGTCAGCAAATGTTTTGGATCAGTGCAGCTAATACGTGGTGTAGCAAATATCGACCGGAAGCTCTTAAACTTCGTATTACAACTGGAGTGCACAGTCCCGGTGAATTCCGTGTTCTTGGTCCTCTGTCTAATATGGATCAGTTTGCCAAAGACTTTCATTGCCCCTTGGGTTCCAAAATGAACCCGAAAAAGAAATGTGCCGTGTGGTAGATAGGAAGAGAAAACTTGAAATTAAATAGGAATATTGAATTCTTTATAAAAATTAACAAAATGAATTGAGTAACATATTCTAATTTAAAAAATGTATTTAAAAGTATTTAAAGATAATTAAAATTGTTAATTAACCATTAACAAATTTAAATGAAAAATTAAAATGGAAATTATCGAGAAATATTATGAAATACTTAAACATTTTAATTGAAAAGTGACTAAAAATTAAAATTTATAGTTGGAATATTAATTTTAGTTTGTATTTCGTATATAATCTTATTTAGAAAATTTTTGAGAAAATTAAAATCTTTTTTATTGTATATTTTAATCTCCTTTATAAATTAAATTTCAGTATTAATTATATTTATTTTTATAGAATCCCATACAGATTTATTTTAACAGGATATGAACCTATGATACTGGTATTAAAAGATTGTGAAAATAACTTTTAAATTTTGTACTATAGTATGTTTAATCCCTTAAACATCGTAAGTGTGAAGGAATTTACACGTGACACTAAAATTGTTAATTATTTATTATTTATAACTAAAAATAATCTATAATAATTTTTTTTATTTTTTATTATAAATGAAAACTTAAAAGTAATCTTCTTAATAATTGTTTAATAATAGTTAAGTAATTTTTTATTTAGACTTTTAGTTATTTTTATTGTATAAATATTATTTATATTGATTGATTAAATATATAAATTTTTAAAATAAAATTATTCTTTGATAGAGTTTATATTCTGAAAGCTTACGATTTTTAGAAGATTGAGCACTGTTATTTTGAAAAGTACTTAGCTGTCACTGTTTTTATATTCACTATTCGAAATTTATTAATACCCTTAATATATTATCGTTTATCCTTTATTTTAAAGTAATATTCGTTTTATGTAATATTTGAAAGGATTCATTTTGTTATAATAATTTAAATAATCTATTTATACCAAGTAAAATAAAGTTATACTCGTTAATATCAGTATGGAATATAAGGATAATCATGCCATTGTTGAAATCATAAATAATGATTTTAAGTGTCAATATGAATGATAAAATTATGTGATTTTTTAAATTTATGTTCTGTTTTTTCAAATATTTTAATTGCATTGATAGTTTTATACTCTTATGAAAAATTAAATAATATGAAATTCTGAAACTTTATTCTATTTAATCATAATTATTTATAACAGCTGTAAATGTAAATTTCTTTTTATATAAGAAGATAATGTTAATTTATACAAAATTAGAAATAAATAAATACATATTTGGGTGTAGGTTTTCGGTATTTTTTTTTTAAGACAAAAAATTAATAAGGTAAATGATAAACTAAAATAATTAAAGAAATTTAAAGTAATATAGTAAACATATTTTAAAAAAAGGATAAACCATTTAAATATGAATCATTTTTAAACTGTATGAAAAAATATTACGAATGCTTAAGAAAGTATGTGAAATTTAAAACAAAATGGCAACTTGGAATCTTTCTATACGAGTAAAATGACCTATCAAAAATTATTATAATTTAAATATATTGATAAAAAATCCAAAATATTAACATAACAATAATGATTAAATAGTATAAAACCAAATATTTCAAAAAGTATTTTTTCATTAATTTTTTCAATCATAATAAATATATTCTTTCGAATATTGTCAATGATCAGTATTACATATGAAAATATGATTTATTTTGAGATTTATGATAAAAATGAAATTGATAATTGTTATATCCTTATTATGAGAAATATTTCACAAACATATTACACGACAAACAATTTTAAGTGAAGATAAAATTATAATGTACAGTTTTATTTACAATATACCATTAACGAATAACTATTATTATATTGCATTATAGAAAAATTCGACTAATCGGATATTCGAGATGTACATGAATTTCTTAATTTATATTTATTAAAATGCTTTAATGTACATACAAATGTATTCATTATTTTATAATATTTGCAGTTAGACGCATTATGTCCTTGTAAAAACTTATGTATTTATGAAATCTGTGATTAAGTAATATGTATTTAAAAGCATCTACTTAAATCTTGAAATTAATTTTGTAAACCAGTATAACATTTTATTTGATTTTATATAAAAACTATAATATATTTTGTGGTAAATACGTCATAAAATAAAAATCTAATAATATCCTTTTAATTTATATTTAAAATCAATTAAATTGAAATATTTTATATATCTTAATTATTGTTAAATTAAAATAGCAATCGCATTTATCATTATATAATTTTTGGCTGGTGATATTAATAAATAAAATAAAAGAAAAGAGAATATTAAATAAAAATAAAATTTTAAATAAATACAATATTTATTGGAATACATCTGCGATATTGTACAACTAATATATGAAAGTAATGAAAAAAAGAAAAGAATATTTCTTATGCATGTTTCAATTAAATCGTCGATATCATATTTATTAGTTAATAGCTTTTCTCAGAATATAGTTAAAAAGCAAATTTAAATAAACAGAAATACGGATATTTTACGAATATTAAAAATTATATTAAAGTTGAAAATGTTATATCTCAAAATATATATTTTATAAATAACATCAGAAAAATTTGATAAAGATTAGTAATATACTCTATATTTTCTGATTGAAAAAAACCTATTATCAGCAAAGCAATAAGATGCCGGTAGTTAAAAATAAATTTATTTTCAAGGTCAAATTCAACTACAACTTTTCAATGACTTTTCAACTACAAATTATAGAAATAAAAATAGTATTAAATATTGTAAATAGCATCAGATGATTTTCAATTATAAATTGAGAAAAACTATATATTGACAAAGAAATGACAGAAATTATACTAAAAATTATAAGATATTATTTTATTGGCGCTATACAAGCAATAGTATAGGAATGATTAATTAATCACGCTGCAGAAGAAATAAGTCTCGAATAATAGGTTTAGGTGAAAATATGTATGCAATTTCTAAAGAAATAAAAAGTGATACTAAGGTATTCTACGATTTTATTCACAATGATGCACACAATTAGATGCAAATAATTTTTTTAAAGCAAAAAAAAGATATTCTAATTAATATTTATTATTTTTTGTATCTCTACCTATTTCTAATCTACTATTAAGTAACTAGATTTATAAAAGAATTTGTAAAACAAAACTGAATTTCATAAAGTTTCCAATCATTTGATCTTAGATAGAAAAGAAAGATCGTAATCCAGCTAAGAATACTCCAACAAAAAATGCATTTTAATGTACAGTATCTCATTGGCAGTAATAGAATGGAGTTATTAAAATAAAAATCTGTTAAATATGTAAATATGCCTGCTGTACACAATTAATCTCGAAGAAAATATTCAAATAACTAACTTCGTACTACGATATATTTACAAAACGGATTATCTAATAAAATAATAATGAAGACATATTTCAGGTTACAGAATACAAATAAATCGACGGAAGAAATTTGTAAATTTTGAAGTTTCATATACATTTTATATTATAGACAACAGCAATATAAATTTTACAAAGTGACAGATAAATTAATCGTTAGATGTTCGAAAAAATAGAAAACATTAATATTTTCACATTTGAACAGAATTAAAGGCGACACATTTATTTTAATGAAGAAAAGATTTTTACAAATGAAAGAAACAGATAATGAAACAATCTTTATAAAGAAAAATAAGAAATTATAATGTTAAAAAATATTATTTCATACGGCGATAATAATTAACTAAAGGCCATACCGATGAAGTAACGATCGATTCAAAAGGTTTAGAATTAAGAAATAATAAGAGTGTACATATTCCTAATAAAATTCAATATGTAAGACTTGGGTACTATGAAAAATGTGATAGAATCATATTCCTGAACATGTTTATTTGTTATATTAAATCTAAAAGAATAAAAACATAAATGAGAGAAATTTAAAAAATGTCAAAGTTCATAAAGAACTATTGCAAAAATGTATAAGAAAATTAATAGTCTGAAAAAATGTGATAAATAAATAAAATACAAATTAATACATAATTTTTCAGAAAAGAATCTGCTATAAAATATATTATTATTTATAATTTTTTTACAATGTCAGGTTAAAAAAATATATTTTAAATTGTCACGTAACAAATTGATTTATCAACAGGTAATTAAAATAAACTATTAACGTGAATCAATTTAATGCATACATTATCATTATTTTTCAATAGAAATATAAAAAGTACGATTTATTAGTGATATACCAATATATTGGATAGATTTAAAATAGATTTGTACCACATGATGCAAAACTCTGAAATGCCTTTTTGAATTAAAAATGTGCGAGAATTAAATATCAGGATTCATTGGTAACTAAAAACGACAATCATTATTTATTTTGATATGGGACTAAATGTAATTATACTGAATTAACGCCAATAAGTGCTTACTGCAACCAATAAGGCAAAAGATTGCTTTTTATCGAATGAAACATAAATGTAGAGCCTACCTAAAAAACAAGTAATTAGTAAACTTATAGTAATAAGTTAATTAGATATAGGCTGGTTAAAAAATCACATTAAGAATCTAACAATTGTTACGTCTATCAGTGCTTCAAATCGTCTATAAATTCAATTGGTTTGAAATAATTATGTCTTACATTGTTTTTAATTGGAGCTGAATATATTACTATTATCAAAACGAGTGGAAAAGAATATATATTTATTGATTACCAAAAGATATTAAAAGAAACACTTACGATCTATAATGATGATTAAAATTATTTAAAATATACAAAGCGAACAAAATTTATTTATTGAACAAATTAAATAGATACAAGGCTTTACTCTTTCATAAATGTAAAGAACACACACTTCATTATTTATGAGTAGTTTTTATCAAAGATAATTGCTGATATATTGAATTGCTGACTGTTGATAAATCGTTTGGAAAAAAAAGTATTTAAGCAGGAATTGATGCTTAATTAATATTGAAATCGTTGATGAAATACATTATTATAAAGATCTTTATTTATCTAATGCTCAAAATTCTAGTAACATTCTAGTAATTTTATAAATAATCT